GGGAGGGAGGGAGGGAGGGAGGGAGGGAGGGATGCGGCGCGCAATTAGAAAATTGCTAATCACGATTGACCTAATCTAACGACCTATCAAGCCTATGGGAAGTAAGTGTCATCCAGATCGGGCCTGAGCACGACCACATTCAAACTGCAATTTCACTGAACTTTCACTTTTTGCAAATCTTTACAGCAAATTGTGTATCTTCCTACTACCATTCATCTTCTACTTACTTCATGACCTCGTACTTTTCTAAAGGGAGTGTTGCCCAAATTTTTGCTATTTCAAGGAGTTAGGCAAAATTGGACTTTGAGAAGTCAAAGTCACTTTTTCTGACTTTAGCTTTGTATAAATCTTGGAATAACACTTTCTCTTCGGGAAGCGCTGCCGAAATTTTTACAAATCTAAGGAGTTAGTCAAATTTTGTCGTAAGTTGAGTTCATGAATCGATTTTGAGTTCATATCTGACTTAGTACAAATCTGGGAAGTCTACCTTTCTAGAGGAAGTGCTGCCAAAATTTTTACTGATTCAGAAAGGTAGACAAATTTGGACTTTCCAGAGTTAGGGATTGTTTTTATTTTCATATTTGGACTATTATAAATTCTGCGAAGACACTTTTATTACGGGAAGCGCTGCCAAAATTTTCCTGAATTTAGAGGAGTTAGATTATATTTTGACAGGTGACAATCTTGGCAGTTCACTCTGTATAGAGGAGACTCTGCTAAAAGACTTACCTTTCCCTTAGGCATTGGCTTAAGGATAGACCCAGAATTAGCTAAGTAGAATGACCCTTGGTGGAATTGAGATATGGAGGTTACGCTCGATTTGGACTCAAAGATTTAGCTCTGGGTTGACCTGTCTTGTGTTACAGGTCCTTCTGGACGTTTGATTTAAGATCAGAACTAGATTAAGCTTGATCCTATGAGGATCGTCTTCTGTATCACTGATAACAGGTCGGTTGTCGATTCGTCGGTTTACGACTCAATTCCAACTCACCCTCAATACTCAACCTAAAAAGGTTTTAGCCCTGGTGATTTTATTGTTTTGTTAAGGTTTCACCCGGACTTTTATTGAATGGTCATTTAACAAAGGTACTGAGTATTTAATTATGGTTGGTTGAACAGGAGGTTGGGGCTTGCATGGCTAAAGCGAGGGGTATGAGTATAGAGAGTGGTTGGGGTTGACTCTGTGTAGTGTGTGAATTTTTGTTTGACTTTTTTATGTGATTGCAGGTATGTTTTGTGGTTATGATTTTGGATTTGACTGTCTGTGATCACACATATACATATGGTTGTGAGGAGCCTCACTGTGATTGTGAGAAGTGATCGTCACATACTTATTCCCCCTTTACATATATACATGTATATGCCTATGCTGAGTGTTCGCGTGGCCTAAGGCTGTCTCTTATACACATCTAGATGTGTATAAGAGACAGGTGTGTGTGTGTGTGTGTGTGTGTGTGTGTGTGTGTGTGTGTGTGTACCTATGTTGGGAGTTCGCGTGGTCTGAAGGGTCACGCTTAAAGGTAAAAATTGGGGGTTGGGATCGAGGGAAGAAAGAAAACCCCCCTCTGCATGGTTGTATGCTTCTTAGAGTTTCTTGGTCGGACGTTAGTCGTGGGTCTGGATTCGAGGTCCTTGTCCAAGACATCCCAGGCCCTAGACTCTGCAGGGGAGGAATCTTCCCGTGCGCAGAGCCTAGCTGCCCTGCCCGTCGAGACACCCAACCCAGAGGGCAGAAATGTCGCGAGGGTTGAACAACATGTCCTTCAGCCGTTCAATATCGTGAAGGGCAACCCCTCACGATATATTCCTTCAGCCATTCAATATCGCGAGGCCAAAACTGCGATTGCCGCGTATGACTAGCATCGCCGGTTGATGTAGGAAGGGCTTACGGTCGTGCAACTTTATATTAAAGTCTTGCACGCGACGTTCGCGCCGGCCCAGTGTCTAGAGTTATGAGATTAGGTGATTCGTATGTGTACGTGTGAGTCCGGACTTAGGATAGGCCATTGGTATCAACCGACAAGGTTACCCAAGGTTGAGGTTTTGGGATGTGGAGGCCCTTCGGCCTATTTTTGCT